GGGGCGGGGCTGCAGAGGCTCGGTGAGCCGGAGGCGGAGTCGGAGCTGGGGGGGCTCTCAGGCCCTGTGAAGTCTCTTTTGTGTTGTATTATCCAGTGCTACAAGCTGTCACCTGCTCTCTGGGTTAAGGGCTTAGTTTCCCTTCTAAAACTTTATTGCGTTTCACTTCATTTCTTTCTCTCTCGACCTAGATCTCCTCGTGAGGTTACTCACTGTTACTCCTTTGGCATGGAAGATAGTCAGAAAATTAGAAAGTTCCTACAGAAGGCTATCTATTGCTAAGGATTTAAAGAAGATGGGGTTTCAACGCAATAATATAAAGATCACGCACTGGGGCTTGATGCAGAGGAACTACATAGAGACATCGTGTCAGGCAACAGGACATAAAGGTGTCACAGTTTTCTGAGAACTGCTTTAACTAGTCTGTGTTTTCTGGTTACTTAGTTTTTCCTGGGTTCCAGGTCTTTGAAAGGAATATGATCAGAGAAAATAAAAATGGTTTTAAAATACTTGAAATATCAAGACCTTGAGCCTAAAAGTGTCTTAGTCCAACTTTAAAAATTTTTAAGCTTTCACATCATGTACATGGATAAAAGGAGGACTATCCACTTGCTAAACAACATGCTTTAGGAACTTTGATAAATGTCGATAGTTATAGAAAGGCTTCAGGCCTTTTGTTCATAGGGTTGTTATGAGCCATGCTCAACTCAACAGTAATCAACAACATAGAAGAATTGACGCCTTTGTGTAGTGTTGGAAAAGAGTCGTGAACATATCATGGACTATCAAGAGAACAAGTCTGTCCTGGAGAGTATGAAACCAAGTTGCTCCCTGGAGGCAAGAATTTTGAAGCTCTGTTTCACATACTTTAGACATGTTGCCAGGACAGCATGATTGGAAGGATGGAGGGACAATGCAGGAGAGGAAGACTCTGGATGAGATGGATTGACACAGGGTAACGGAGACAAGTGTGTCAGAAACAGTGAGATTGGCTCAGGATAGGGCAGGGTTCAGAGCTATTGTGCATAGGGTTGCTTTGAGTTGCAGATGACTCAACGGCACCTAACAACAATAACATGTTATGTATATACAAGCTATGAGTAGGAATGGACTCATAGCTGACCATCCTGCGAATTTGTAGAGGCAATAATTCACAGACGAGGAGACTGTCCATCTTTTCCATGTAATAACTGGTAGATTCGAATTACATGCAGCACTGCACCTTACCACTAAGCCACCAAAGCTTAAAGGGATATACCAGGGCCCTACGATCCAGAAATGGAGCAAAAGTTTTATTAGCTTTTTCATCTATGAAAGATATATAATTAATATTTTCAAGATTTTTTTACTTAGTGCTTAATGTATCTGACTGCCAGCCAAAAGAATAACTGTTAGAAATGACCAGCCTCTCCTCAGGAGAAAGATGAGCAGTCTCCTCCCAGAAATGCAGCGAAGGGCCACTAAGGATCAGAATTGGCTGGAAGGAAAGCTGTGGGTTTGGTTATGTATGCACTTGTGAAAGTATAAATGGGACTAGCTATTGACTTCATGGCACATAACAACAAAAACCTGTTAATATAGCATTTTCCATAAGTAAATAAATGCATTTATTCTTCACATCCATTTCTCAGTGGTGCAAAATGTTAATGAGCTTAATTGTTAACCAAAAGGTTGATGGCTCAAATTCCTCCTAGAGGTATTTTAGGAAAGGTCTGTGGTCTACTTCCAAAAAATAAGCTATTGAAAACGCTACAGAGAACAATTCTCTCACACACATGAAGTCCATAGGAAAATGAGGCCCAGAGACATATAGAAACTTGCCTAGATCAGCTATTATGTTAGTGATAAAATTCGAGATCTGGCTTAAGAGTCTCTACTTTTACGTACTACATGATAGTTGTTACGTGCTATCGAATTGGAATGGACTCACAGAGGACTTTCAGGAGCCGTAAATTGTACAGGAAGAGATTGCTCATCTTTCTCCCACAGAACAGCTGATGAATTAAAACTGACTGCCTTTGTGTTGGCAGGGCAACTGCGCACCACTACCAAAGTTCCCTTCATTGTAATTGAACAGATCTAAATCATTTCCATCTTCTTCAGTGAAGTGCCTGTTCATATCCTGTGCCCATCTTTCTATTGGATTATTTACCTTTATCTTGTGGTGCTCAAGTATTTCATAAATTCTGGATATAAGTCCCTTATCTGATATGTTATTACCAAATACTTTTTCCCAGTCGGTGGCTCCCCTTTTTACCCTGTTGGAGACGTTTTTGGATGTGCATAGGGATTTGAGTCTTAGAAGATCCCATTCATCTACTTTATCTTCTCCTGGTTGTAGGAATCATTTCCATCTTAAAAGAGGAAAGTGAAGACTTTAGAACCAGGAACCACCAGTAGTTCCCCTTTAGCAGGTGTAAACTAAAGAAACCAAAGCTTTCAACAAGGCCAATACTCTGAACAGCAAAAAACTTCAGCATATTCATGTGTAATCTAACCCATAAACGCTATTTTTACAAGTCAGTATAAAAAGGAAGCAATGACAGTTTAGATGTTGTGGTTGTTATTGTTGTTCGGTACCATTGAGTTAGAACCAACCCATAGCTGACTCTTCAGCAGGTTTTGAGAGTCAGTAAATTGCACAGGAGTTTGCCCATCAATTTATGGCAGAGCAGCTGGTGGATTTGAGCATACCTTTGGGATCCTTAAAGAAGAATGGGAATCCCAGAACACCTGATTGTGCTCATGTGAAACCTATACTTGGACCCTGAGGCAGGTGTCAGAGCGGAGCAGGGAAACACTGCACGGTTCAGAATCAGGAAAGGAGTGTGTCAGAGATGTGTCCTGTCTCCATACCCTTTCAATCTGTATGCAGAACAGATCAGTCAGGAGGCTAGACTTTATGAGGAAGAATGTAGCATCAGGATTGAAGGAAGATTCATCAACAACCTGCATTATCCAGGTGACACAACCTGCATTATCCAGGTGACACAACCTTACTTGCTGAAACCGAGGAAGACCTGAAGCATTTAGTACAGAGTGTCAAGGACTGTAGTTTGCAATATGAATTAAAGCTCAACATCAAGAAAATTAATATTCTCATCACTGGGCTGATTGGCAGGATCATGATAGATGAAGAAAAGTTTGAGATTGTTAACAATTTCTGCTTGCTCAGTTCCACAACCAATACTCTTTGTACCAGCAGCACCAAAACACAAATTACATTAGAAAACATCTTCTGTCAGGGGCCTCTCTAGAGTGCTGAAGAGCAAGGATACCAGCCTAGAGACTAAGGTGTGTCTGATCCAAGTTATGGTCTTCATAATTGCTTGCTATCCATCAGAAAGCTGGATAACAAATAAGGATGACAGAAGAAGAATGTATACCTTTCAGCTGGGGTGCTGGAGAAGAGAACTGAACATACTATAGACTGCCAAGAGAACTAACAGGTCTGTACCAGAGAAGTTGCTCCCTGGAGGCAAGGATTTTGAGACTCCGCCTCACATACTTTGAGCACGTAACCAGAAGGGACCAATCTTTGGAGAAGGACGTCATACTTGGAAGGGTCCAGGGATAGTGCAGGAAAGGAAGACCTCAGATGAAATGGAATAACACAATAAACAGGAGTAATAATGGTAGATGTGTCAGACACAGTGATATTGGCTCAGGATAGAGCAGGGTTCAGAGCTATTGTACATAGGGTCCCTATGAGACGTAGTTGACTTGATAGCAAATAACAACAACATAGCAATATAAAGGAAAATTTGGATTTGAGTTACGATTTCTCCAAGACTGAGTTACTTGAGATTAGTCATTTCCTTGAGAAAAGGTTTCAATACTGAAGGATGCTATGAGCAAAATTTTGAATGATGATCCCGGAAGCATCAAAAGGAGATGGAGGAAATAAAAAGAGTTATGTACCAAAAAGAATTGATTGACACAGAACCATTTCAGGTAGTAGCATATGATCAGGAGCCAGTGGTAATGAAGGAAGAAATTCAAGCGGCACTGAAAACATTGTCAAAAAATAAGGACCTAGGAATTGATTGGATACCGATTGGCATGTTTTAACAAACAGATACAGCCTTGGATGGCTCACTAATCTGTGCCAAAAAATTTGGAAGGCCTGGCCAACTGACTAGAAGAGATCCATATTTGTTCTCATCTTCCCCAAAAAGGTGATCAAACTGAACGTGGAAATTATAGAACAAAATTACTAATATCACACACAAGTAAAATCTTGGTGAAGATTATTAAAAAATGGCTAAAATAATACATCAAAAGAGAGAACTGCTAAAAATTCAAACTGAATTCAGAAGAGGCTGCAGCACCAAAGAAATTATTGCTGATGTTAGACGGATGTTGGCTGAAATCAGAAAATGTCTATCTGTACTTTATTGACAGTGCAAAGGCATTTGACCATGTGAATCATAACAAAGTATAGGTAACATGAGAAGAATGGGAATCCAGGAACATTTAATTGTGCTCATGCAAAACCTAT